AAGAACTGTAAAGAAAAAAAAAAAAGACCCTTATATACTTTAATGCATTAATTCTACTTTAAGAATTCCTCCTAAGGAAAAAGGAATGTGTAGAGTTTCAGTTTAGAATTATTTAGAATAGCAAACCTGGATTAGTAAGCTAATTGTCCAAAATAGTTATATCCACTAGAGAGATTATACATCGACTGACATCATTTTAAAGGATATATAACAACTTAAGAAAATACATATCACAGAACAATGAGGATGGGCCACTATACACAGTAAATTTCCCGTAAGGTAAATTGTGAAGGTATTTAAACGAACCGTATGAATACAACCAACACGGAAGAAAATAGTGATTGTATTATTACGGGAAATTATTTCCTAATACATATTACTTTTATAATAACGATCTTTAAATAACTACATCCCGATAGATATTGTAAAAAGTAATTAAAGCTGTGAAAATTTAAAACCATATAAATATATTCCCTAAAGTACCTGTGAGAAACAAGATTGTATTTAATTTTTTAATCTGTGATTGCCTATTCCTATAGTTCTTTTTTGATTCAACAAGTAGAACCAATTCTGACTTAAATGCCTTTGAAAGTATCCTTTAAATCAAAAAGTAAAGCAAAGAAATGACATTTTCAAAAGAGTCGTGAAAATAACATGTTAATGCTGCTGTCATGCGATGGTTTGGTATACGACAGATTCTAAGTAATGCATTTGTGTTTGTGTTCTAATTTGGGGGGTTTTGGGTCGTTTTTTCCTAGATCTGGTTTGCCTTCGTTAATGGCTTTTCTGGACAGATCCTCTTTGAAAGATGGTGCATAGGTCTTTATAACGTGGTAAGTTCAGGACATTTGATAATCCCCGTTTTATTGAATTACTTTGAGATAAAGGTTCACCCTGCGTCTGGCGCTTGACATAATGACCAGTTTGTGCACTTTAGATGTTTACAGCAATGCCTCCCTTAACTCTTGGAATATTTGAGAGATCGTGCAGAAAAGAGAATATGTTGAAGTACCCCGAATTATACAAGACGTCTCAGAACGCCCTGGACTTCAACACCAAGGTAGGACACAGTGCCCTGGCTCACGTTCGGTGGGTCTGGCTTCCCTGCTTTCGGCACTCGGGGCTTCTGGTTTTCCAAAGCCAAGGAGACGCCAGCCTGAGACAAGTCCAGG